GGTGCCACCTAAGAATAACCGGGTGCGCTATGCAAAACAGCTCTAGCGTCCCCGCGTCCAGGTCGAAAAAAAAACATGAATTCATGCATGTAGATACACTAAGACACCCCCGCATCCGGGGGAGTTTGAGGCTCACTGTCCACAGTGGCTGCGAAGCGCACTGCCTGGCATGCAGCTCCCCCCCGGCCCTCCGCCATCCATTCGATGATATACGCAGAGCACATCGCATTGCCTCCTATGCTGTCCATCACGGCGAGCATTGACGCGACCTTCGCGTCGACCGTCGCGTACGGATCTACACTACACATGCCCACCCTTGGATGCTCCAGGACCCCTGCTCGCGCCGCATCATGCCTATGTGCGTGGTGTTGATCACGGCGGGAAAGTCTTCTGTCCTGCACACAAAACTTTTGTGTGTTCCTTATTGTCCTCGAAGGCCGAGCCCTATGTAGACAGTGATTACAAGTAATGCGAGGGTATATGTAGGTCTGAATCGTAGCAGAGGCATCGGACTCCACCCGTCGTGCGGGTGGATGTCGGTCGCTGTAATTGTGGGGTATGCTATGTGGCCAGGGAAGGGAGAACTGTATGTACATGGTAAGTAGAAGTGATAAATCTCCGCACATGTTGTAACCAGGATCTCGAGTGATTCACCTACTAAACTTGATGCTTCTTGTCTATCGTGCGTCCGGGTGTCTACATGGATGATACTATTATGGCATGCACCATACAGATCTAGAGACTCGACAAGGTGATGAAAATGAGACGTCTATACACCCGTGCGCTTCCCGCCACCACCCCTGCCAGCAAACACCCACTCAATCTGATGTGCTACGGCGATTGAGACTCCGAGGTCCCGCGCAAATGTCCAGACGGTTGAGGGGTCTTTTTGGAACTGTCGCCCAACAAAGATCACGTCTGCAGAGCCCTGTATAAAGTTAAATTAACAACGGTAGCTCGAGCCATCTAGGAATAAAATCATACATCGTCAAGAATCTCTTGTGCGTACTGGCCGGTCGTGATACCCCCCACGGCGCCGACAAGGATCTTGTCTTTGTTCGCAGCTCGTATTTCTCTGGAGAAGGAAACCTGGAGTGAATTTGGTCCAGGTTCAAATTTCTGTGCAGGATGAACACCGCCGCTGGATACGTCGATAAGATCGACACCGTGTTCGGCAAGAATCGGCGCTAGCCGGACAGTATCCTCAAGGCGCCACGTCTTGTTCGGGAATACCTCATCGAGGTAATCTGTGGCAGATACACTGCATTCGAGCGAATCTTAGTTTCATAACCATCCGAGCCACGGAACTCCACGCACCGAACGAAAAGAGGCATTGTGGCAGGAATGACTGCTCTCACAGCATCTACAACTTCAATCAGCAGTCGTATCCGGTTCTCGAAGCTGCCACCGTATTCGTCCGTGCGGGTGTTCGAAATGGGCGCCAAAAATTCATTCAAGAGGAATCCATGCGCAGCATGAAATTCGATAACATCGAAGCCTGCCTTGAGCGATCGTCTTGCAGCGTCCACGTATGCGCGAATCACTGCCTTGATGCCGGCCTTCGTAAGCTCCTTTGGATAGGGAAATCCTTCACTGTACTGAATGGCACTCGGTCCAAAGACGTTATCAGGCCAACCACCATCAACTTCCGATACAGTTCCACTTTTGTGCAGCCACGGAGCGACACCAGATGCTTTGCGCCCTGCGTGGGCGAGCTGGATGCCGATTTTCTGATTTTGGGAGTGCGCAAATTCGACGATGTGCTTCCATGGTTCTATGTGTTCGTCTGACCAAATCCCAGCGTCCTGTGGCGTGCCGCGACCCTCGGGAAGAATGGCAGTAGCCTCCACAAAGGACAAGCCGGGGCCACGTTTGAAAATTCCGCCCACTTCATTCACAAGCAAACATCATGTTCTCAGGCCGGGAAGACTGTTCGACTTACAATGAGCGAGATGCCACGACGTGATTTTACCGTTATCCGCAGAATATTGACCGAGGGGGGCCAACTGAGAAGGAAAGGACAACATTTAGTCACGGATCGTATATGGCTACTAAGCACCATTTTCGAACTCACAAATATACGATTTTGGAATTCTACGCCGCGAATCTTCAGCGGCTGAAACAGTGTTGGTATGGGCTTCCCGCTTGGTTGGGGGTTGATCGCTGTACCCGCGGGGATCTCTTGAGCAGGAGTGAAGAACGAAACGTTGGGTGCTGGAGCGTTAATGATGATATTGTGAGCCATGTTATCCATAGAAGCAGGAGGAGAATGACGCCATACGCTCATCGACTCGTCATATTTATACTAGTCGTATACCGAAGTCGTCGCAATACCTCAAGAATGAACCGAGGCGCTTTACTAATTCACTGGCGACGCTGAGCAACCTTTCGCCGACTTTCGAGATTTCAGCGCACCTTGATCCAAGTCCCTGCTGACGCAAGTCAAATACCAATGCTAACCTTAGTCATGATAATGGCATTGTGATGGTGCTAAGAATTCAGCTGCAGCTGCCAGCTTACGGAGTAGAATGAAATATGAGCGGCGCTCTATCTCGGTATTGGCGAAAGCAATACACCATAGAACGAACACGGCGGTACGCGAGCAGGTAGGTAATAATTTTGTCGCCCTCGTTGTTTTTTACACTGAAAATCTTCTTGTGCAAGACGGTAGAGACTGGTCACGAAAGTAGGGCTCGAAGCCTGAAGCTTGAACTTCGCGCCCGTTGCCGAACCCCGGTCTTCTCCTCCGAGGATCGGGGAATGACATATGTTCGGGCCGGATCCGGAAGCTCCAAAAGTTCACTTTCAGCGTTTCAAGTTAGCCACCCCATGAGTCTATCTCAGTCTGTGAGTGGCCTCCGCAAATCACAACATTGAGTAGAAGAATGATATCATTTCGACGTTCACACTGAGTACAGTGCATAAGCAAGCGTGGCAATACATAGCGTCATGATCGTGAAGAAAGATCGGAGTAGAATGCGTTCGAGGTATATGAAACAGAACAAAACAAGCGACGAGAATATGCTTGATGAATGGACGATGACAACCAATGACCAGTATTGGAATGACGAGACATGCGACATGAAAACAAGGCTGAGAGACAGACGGGAGAAAAGAAGAGGCTAGTCCACACGAGATTATATGGCAAACAGAAAAGCTGACGGACATTAGATAGCTGTGGTATGCGGGATCCAGAGCGATAAGGCGGAATCGCCGAAGCTGGCATATTCGTGTCGAACGAGACCACAGACACGCATAAACACTAGTTGAGTGAGGTCTTCGACGACTTTGTGCCTATCGCTGGCCGGTTTTCTTGATCAACGTCTTGAGCCAGCTCGACGTTTACAGCGGCAGTCTTGATAGACAGCAGCACCTCCTTACAGTATTTGACCTTGTCTATAAGGCGGGAGTGGAACTTGCTTTGTTCCGGATCCAGACGTGACGGGCGGAGGGACTGGGCCATAATCTCACTCAGCGTCCATCGCGTCAGGTTGTAGTTCTTGTCTATATGCGTCACTAGCAAGCCCTGCGAAGATAGTATCACCTTCGAGTGGTCATAGAAGTTGAACTGAACGGGGAATGTCAGTAGCAATGCCACTATAATTGGAGTGAATAACTAACCTGCAGGACATCGTGGCTCATCTTGAAGACAATCACGTGCTTCATACGCAAATACCTCTGTACGAAGTCCATTCCCTTGGTACGTTCCTTGTCCTGATACGCGTACTCGTACTCGCCATACAGCCGATCCATGATATACCGCTCAAAGTGCTTCAACAAGTAAACCTTGTTCTTCATTTCTTCTGGGAACTCGTTCACTGTATGGTTCTTGCGCACGAATACGGTGCCCTCGCGACGAGACTGAATATAGTCGAAATGACTAGCATAATATTAGCCAAGCAGAAACAAGGTGCACGCAATGTCCACTTACTGCTTGTCTGCACTCATCACGACAGAGGTGCTATCATTGAAGTGTACTCCCACAGATCCATCCGTTAAAGCGTAACCCATCCCGTACTTGTTGCAATAATCCACCCAGGAAACGATGAACACTTTCGGATCTGGCAGGTTGACATCCTCCCGTGGATCTCTGAACAATCTACCGCGGCTCCTCGCATCAAATGCTTGGGTAAGGGTTTGTGCTGCTGCATCGAAGCTGTTCGGTCTGAGCGGAAGGCCTGAATTTGGCACGCCGGTACTAACGATCGGTTCGCCCCGGAAAACCTCCTTCTCCTTCTCTTTCTCCTTCGCTCGCTCCCGTGTCTTATGGTCGACGCGCATAGCGGCCGGCGCGACGTTCTCTCGGTCATCTTGGCCGTATGCAGAACCTGCAGCGCTATCTGGCACCATCTGCGCCACGATCCGCGCTTTCTGTGATTCTAACTCTTTTCTCCGCGTCTCTTCTTTCTTCAGCGCGCCCTCGTCCTCCTCCCGTTCTAGAATACCATGAAGCCGTGCGCGCGCCGGCGACCGTCCGTCTCTGGCATTCTGCAGCTTCCTGATGAGCGGTGGCTCACCTCTAGTCGACACGGGTGCAACCATGAGAGGCTGTCTTGCAGAACTAAGTAGAGCGGAGATGGGACTCCCGGGCTGCACAGCCTTCTGGAACTCCTTCTCTTGCTTCGCGAGGCTTGATGTCATGTCTTTCATCTTGCCATTGCTTACACTACTTGTCGTTGCAGGAGGCGCGGACGGCACAGCAATGTTTGTTACTTGATCTTCGTCTAGCATTGCATACCGTTTGAGACGCGCAAGATTAGCATCAGAAACTGGCCGTGTGATGTGGCGGAAGTCCGGTGGTGCATCGTGCGCCGTTGCGGGGATGTACCCTGGTACAATGCCGGTTGTAAACCACCTGTGGTCTACGATTTCGTGCAGCGTTGGGCGCTGTTGGGGATCTGGTGTCAACGTTTGCTGTACAAGCTCCTGGACTTGCTGCGACACTACACGATCAGCAGGGAACTCATACTCGTTATCTCGAATCCTCCTATTGTCGCGTCAGATCAAGTTGAGAGTAGACGTGCTAGACACTGACTTATAAATAGCTTTGACATCCTTAGTCTGAAAGGGAGGACGCCCCACCACGAGCGTGTACAATATAACGCCTATGGACCACGTATCCACCTCGAAGCTGTGTCCATTCGCAGTATCGAACAGTACTTCTGGTGCGATGTAGTTCGGCGTCCCACAAATAGTCTTCTTACGCTCGCCAGGGCTTTCGATGAGAGCAGCCAAACCAAAGTCGCCAACCTTCACGTTCATATTTTTATCCAGGAAAATATTGCCCAGCTTCAAGTCGCGATGAATCACTTGGTGCGTGTGCATATACTCACAAGCACCAATGAGCTGAATCATAAAAAACCTTGCCTCAGGCTCAGTGAATCGGCGGCGACGGCGGAGCATGTCCATGAGCGATCCGTTGTGACAGAGTTCGAGGGTCATGTATACGTTGTCGTCATCCTCAAAGCAGTCCTGGAAACGCACAATGTTGGGATGCTCGAGGGAGCGATGTATCTTGATTTCTGCGTAGAGCTATGACAAAGTCCTTCAACTTCGTTGGGAGGTCATAGTCAACGTGGCGGATCGTTACCTTTGTTTTAGCTTTCTTGGTTTTCAGAGACGATTTCGTTACTACCTTGCATGCTGCTCGTGAACCGCGAGGATCCTGGACTTCGTAAACACGTGCAAATCCACCCTAGGGCAGATACTATGAGTAAGAGCACCAAATGTAGTTGGGTCACGTACCTCGCCGAGCAAGCCAACCCGGATATACTCGAGAGTGCGGTTCTTATCGGTGATAATCTTAGGTGGAGAGGGGGGGGTAACCTTTGCGTTCTGCCTCGGCAGCGGAGGTGACGGCGGCTCTTTCAACTTTCCTTGCGGTTGTGCTGGAGGTGGGGTACCCGGCGGAGTGTTTCTACGGTTAATCGCATGGTGATTGACGGGAACGCTGAACGGATGACGAGGCATGGCAGAGTAGACCTGGGCAGACATCGTTCGCTGTAGGCCTAACGCCGTCGATGTCGAGGAGCAAAAATGAGAGGAAGGGAACCCGAAAGAAAGCCCAACTTGAAGTCGAGGTGTGCACTACGCGTGTTAGCCACATCTTACGTAATCACACGTGTTGGTTCGACTTTCGCGTCGCGCGTATCCCACGTGACCGTACACCTCGCGCTGTGCCGGGACTGGGCGATCGCGCTTTTTGTTTGCGGCTAGGCCTTCCACTCGAACTGCCAGCATCATTATTGATTGTAGTGCATACAAGATATAGGTCAGCGGCTATATTGCTGCACCAAGCTAGTGTCTCCTCGGGGCGTTGGGGTCTGTTCTGTTCGCGAGAATGCTAGCGATCATGTTCATTTCATGGCCCTGAATCAGGCCAAAGCAGATGAGGGCCCTTAGAAGAATCCGGTCGCCTCTTGTCCATGATGCAACACTCATTTCCTGCCTTTACAGTTGTCAAGAATACAATTGAGCCTATAGTCCTGGCGGTAGAAGATTTTGTGAGTCGATGAATAACCGCGTCGATTGCGTGGATGCAAATTGGCCATATCCCGTACATGGCGGTGAGTCCAAATTCTTTGGCATTTCGCGGGCAACCAAGTTCTCAACTGAAATGGCGAGCGAGGCGCATTCCAATTTCATAAGAGCGTCATGTTCTTGTAATCACCAGTATATGTTTTCAGCGCAAAAGCGGTCGTCGAATGCTTAGCGTGTTGGCCCCAGCTCTGACCCAGCTGTACGCTAAGCGTCAGGCGTCAAAAGTTCATGCCCTGATCTATGCGATATCTCGGTGGTGGGCCCGTGCCCTCGAAGAGCTGTACCGTATGTGCGCATCCCCAGCCCTGGCGTTCATCTCAGCGTTCTCGTAGGATTCAATGAAATGCGAGATTTAAACAGCATCTGAGGTGGTATGTCGTACTCTATGTGCTCAGTGAGTGTCTCAATTTACAACAACTTTGGAGGACAAAAAGTTGGATACCGGCAAATACCGATGGCCGAACTAGCGCTTACACGCTTTGTCCTTGAATACCGCTAGGGCCGTTCTCTCCGACTACAGTGCTTTGTTCGCTGGCTGTGTTAGCTCATGCTTCTCATGATTCGGCCAAAGCACCCTACGCCACACGGTTCTTCCGTGGGGCTGAACCTACTGGTTAAATAGTTCCGCTTTAACGATTGAGAGCTCGTCAACCCGTTTCCCCACTTGAGTGCCACTTCACTAATCCTTTGCACGTCATGCCTTGTGAAAGGGATAGCCCTCGCTCGAGCAGGCGTAGGGATGAAACTCGGCACGTAGCCTAGCCGTAGCTGGATAGGCATTCCGCTGATATCCTTACTTTTCGCAGGTATGAAGCCAATCGTGTGGACACCTCCAGTATACAATCTTCGTCTTCTCGTACGCAACCTCAGATGAAGCCTTCTTCGTCTCGTGTGCAACTTCCGATGGAGCTTCCATCGTCTCGTGTACAACGTCAGGCGGAGCCTTCATCGTCTCGTACGAAACTTCAGACGGAGTATGTTCCAAGCCGTTTGAGAAGGTACGACGACATTGGGTATGTAATCTGGTTCTACACAGGCGTCGTGACACCAATCTTCAACGGTATCCACAGTCGCACGGGGGCCATTCGATCTTCATCCAAGCTGCAAAGAAATCCAGATGCAAGTTGGTCAGGTGCGGCGGCTCGTTCAAGGCGTAATAATGCAACCCGGTATGTAGTCGATTTCCAGTCCGAAAGTTGTGACACTAATCTCCTACAATTTCCAAAGCCATGGTAGGGAAAACTATCCCTTATCTCATGCAGGTGTTCCGATGCGTCGCTTGAGAGGATCAGATGGCCAAAGATTGGAACGGTTGGGGAGGCAGTCCAGGTATGTAGCCTTCTTACTGATATTCCTGGTCTGAGTGACACCAAGTAGACCACGGCGGCGGCACCCAAATGGGTCAACTGTCCAGGACCCCCCCCTACCCCTCCAGCCGTCGGTGGTTTCACTCGGGGGAAGAGAGTTCGAGGACCATGGCAATGGTATATATGTCTCCCATTCCGTGGCGCAGTCATCTAGTGGGCGAGAACACTCCCATGAAGTCCCTCAGGCCCCTCTCGTCCCAACCCGATCGCCTACCCCAGAGCCTCATGCGCCGTTGCTAGGTTGCCAAGAACTCCCTCCGCTTTCGGCATTGGGGCTGTCTGGGATAGAAGGCCACTCATCATCTAGCACGCTGGAGGGGCGCTCTTCCTCTCCTACCCGACCAAGTACGCCCCAGCAGCATTCTCTCTCTCCACCTCAATCAGGTACCACCATGGTACATACTTCGTCACCGAAGGGGTCACGCACATCGCAGACGGAAACAATTCTGCCCACGTCAGAGACACGCGGGGCGCGTGAGGAGATTGACCGCCCGCTTGGTGCGAAACACAGTGAGGCGGTCACCCAGCGGGTACTTTATGGTAGCATTCCTGGACATCAACAGGAGTCGCCGCCACGCCCATCCAATTCCATAACCCCTTTGGCCTTGCCACAAAGCTCATCTAACCAGGCAGCTCCCTCCCACGCAGAGTCATTCAGGGCACCTAACGAGAGCTTCGCCCATCCCCTCAACACAAGAAGCGTGCCTGACACATTGATTGATATGGAGGTGGATCCTCCACCACAGGTGAGCATCTTTGCGATTCTTCATGGTGGTGGGCTAACAGTTCAAATGTTCAATCTCAGGTGTTTCAGCATGGCCCGGACCCTGCGGACTGGCATAGTAAAGACTGGGAATATGGTGCCTTCCCGGCACCTCGTCACTCGCACAGCATTGGTAGGGGACATCGACGATCTCGTGCGCCGTACCGATCCCCAGTCCGCGTCACAATGCGCCCGGTGCTCGGGCGAACTGTCACTCAAAGTGCTCCTGCGTCGGGTTACCGCCGCCCTTCTTATGTCACGTCATCCTCATCCATCCCCTCTGCCGTCACAGCGCATTCTGTACTAACTACTTTGGACCACGTTCGGGAAAGGAGAGATGCTAGGCGGGGTATCCCACCGATTCTGCGATCTGGCATGCGCCCCATGCTCACACGTTTGATGAATGGCACAGGATCTTGGGGTCGCAGGAGTGCATTGACGCTGTACGGTGTCCCTCGCAAAGTGCTTTCTCGGGTGAAGGAGGCGTTGGGAAGCGATGAGATGATCGTCGATCCTGTCTCGCCCAGACAGGATCCCGCAACTGCGAGAAATTCTCTGCACCCGATCGCTCCTACGGCGCTAGTAACTCCACCTGCTGCAATGATGGAGGTGGATGAGAATCTACCTTGTATCCTACCTGGATCGCAGTTTGAACACGTGAAATCACGAGAGGGTGATTCCGACGTTCAACTCGAGCCTGCCAGCAGTCTCGATAGTGCGGCAGGTAGCATTCAACATGTGGAAGCGGTGGCTAACGAGGAAGCGGACGACACATCGGATAGCGAGGCGACTGAAAGGGAGGCAAATAGCACCATAGACGGCCAGGCGACTCGAAGTAAGGCAGATGGTGCATTGGGCGACGCCAAGCCGGACGATGCAGAGGCGTCTAGCGAGCGCACTAGGGACGCCCCTGCTAATGTATCCATTAGCAGTGCAGCGTCCCGTAAAACAGCAAACGGACCATTAGCGAATGTACCAGAGGCGAAGGCGGCACCCAGCGATGAACTGGGGGGATCCTCGACCAACCCTGTTGTGCCCCATCTTACAATCGCTAATGTCCCGAACGACGCTGCGGCACCCACCATGGAGGCAAACGCTGCGACAAGGCAACTCGCTGACATGCTGAGGTACGCTTGAACGATTGTCTATCTAAAACGTACTAATTGTTTTGTCATGAAGGGATCGAAGTCCTTCGCCGATGGCCATGACATCAGGGTCGGAATTGATTCTCAATGCCGTAGCCGTATTGAAGGAGATTTCTTCAAAGGGCGAAGCGAAAGATGCCGCATTGTCAGAGGAAACAGAAGAGACTGCTCCTCCGTCGGCGGGCTTGTCAGAGAGTAAAGCAAGGGCGGATGCATCCTCAGAGGACACGAACAATATCGCACACCTACCGATGAGTTCTATGGCTGGTCAAGTGAAGGAACCAGGGATTAAAGATGATCTCGTTTGCCCATTGCCGAACTCGTCGAAGGGAAAACAAAGAGATGTGTCGGGCGCGAGCAACCTGCTCAATGGCTCGGCGCTGTCCTCAACTGGTTCGTTGGAAGGGAAAGAGAAGGAATCGTCAATGGAGGACAATCCGCTCAACCGTGCAGTTCGATCGTCGGAAAGTTCGTCTACAGGCGAAGAGCGTGCGCCGTCATCGCTGAGCGATTACTACGATGATATGGCAGATCGCATTCCGAGCTATTTGAAGGGCAAAGGGAGGGCGTTACCGACAGAGGATAACACGATGGTCCCTGTGCCTCGATCGCCGATACCTCCAGAAGGCAAGAAGACGCCTGCATTGAATCGTGGGCTTGGCTATCCGGGTCAGTCTGTGATGAACTCTTCGAAGGACAAAGTAAGGGCGGTACCGACGGAGGGTAGCTCGCTTGACCTTGTGGTCCGGCCGTCTAGCAGCCCGTCTCAGACCTCGGGGAGAGCATTGCCATCGGCGAGCAACTCGTCTGGTAACCTGGGCCAGTCCGTGTCGAGTTCATTGAAGGCCAAAGCAGTTTTCCTGCCAGCACAGCCCCTGGCGTTTACTCTGCCTGTTGCTCCGATCGTGCCATTTGTTGACCCTCCGAAAGGCACACGAAATGCTTTGATGACGCAGATAGGCGCGGAAACCTTATCTGCAAGTAGCAGAGGGACACTACCGACGGTGCCACGGTCTGATACACCTGGATTAAAGGGACTCAAGGAAACGCTACGGGCATTGATGGCTTCGCAGCAGACGCCATCGCTTCCACGAGGTACTTCAGCTGTTTTGTCTGCTCAGGTGCAGAGAGATGGAGGAACTGTGCCTCCGCAACGTTATACAGCTCTCTCACCATCGCCTAAACCTCCAGACCCACCTGCATTGTCCTCAATTCCAACGGCGGCTTCGCCTATTATCGCGAGACCCTTGAATTTGTCAATGTCCCCTCCGCCTTCACAGTCGCATCCCTTAATCAACAGCGCTGCCGTGCTACCGGCCTCGTTAGTCAAACAAGCAAAAGCAACTGCGCCGTCTGCGGCCTCACCTCCGTCGTCTACGCCCCCTGCGACGCTGCCGTCATTGCTCGCTAGACCGTCCCCTGCATCACTCGCGGCTGTCTCACCGGTCCAAGCACCAGAGCCACCTGTATCAATACCTTTCAAAGCAGTGGCACCAGCTGTGGAACTATCCCAACCAGAGCCTGTGCCATTGAATCCCCTCCCGCCGTATTCGCCGGGAGCGACCACATCGTCTACTTACCCCACTGCAGCGCTTCCCTCTTCTGTCCAGCCACCCCCTGCAGTGTCTCTAGGACAATCAACATCCCCCGATCCATCTACCAAGGCGCCAGCACACTCCGGAAGTATTCTCCGACCGTCTTTATTGTTTTCCAGGACATCTGAGCCGCTTGTGTCCTCGTCTCAGCACGAACCAAAACAATCTGAATCTCCAACGAGTACATCAGAGTGCCTTGCTTCGTCTGCAAGCCCATCGGTAGTTCCCGTATTGACGGCGAGGCAATCTCAGCCAGTCGTGCCTTCGCCTAATCTGTCTGCAATCAACCCAGCGAACGAAGCTGATGTGCCTTCTCCGAGCTTTCACGAATCCTTGAGTAGTCTACAGCCTCCGATGCTACTCAGACACCCGCTTGTGCCGAGTTATTCGTCTTTAGCTTTCGAAGAACGCGCTCAGCACGAAATGCGGGTCCGAATGCGGCCTGCGTACTGGCAACTGCAGGACAGAACCTCGGCTGAGGGAGCCACAAGAACGTCGACGCCACGTGTGCATCAGATCTATACGTATACGGAAGTCAATCCCGTCTTCCAAGCGCGGATTCGGGTGGATAATGACGGCTGGCCGCATAGGGAATTTTCTGAATCTTCCGGACATAACGAGGACGGAGAAGGGGACGGAGAAGATGACAATGACGACTACGTGGAGGGTGACGAAGATAAAGAGGATAGAGACGAAGATCATGAGGATGGCGAATACGCTGAGGAGGACGACGATGAGGATGAGGAAGAAATAGAGGTTGAAAGCACTCTTTACAGCACAGACTCGCTCACGGACTTGGGCGTTCTCGAACACGGACTAGAATATCTGGTGGACAACCTCGACCTGGTCACCATTGAACGGACCTCAACCGTCTCCGCCGTCGCGAGCACCATCGGCTACGTACTAGGTGCTACCGTGCGCACGGTTGTTCACGGCGTCAGAACCATGGCGGGCTGGTGGGCCGGCTAACTTGACGAAATTCAACTCACGACATTCATATGCTCTCTTCAGGCGACAATCGATCGCACCTGCTAGCGCGCTGCATACGGCGACCGGGCCCGGCGTCTTGTCCATCCGACTCGCATTCACGACCAAGCGAGGTTGGCGCGTCGCGCCATTTACATCGCGGCGCCAGCAAGCCTATACCCCATCAGCTCAATATACCCATATACCCCACCCATCCGTATACCCGCACAAATGCCATCCAAGCGCAACTTACGACATTCTGTAGCACCGGAGACGTTGCTGTCTGCAAAGACTCTGCAAATTTCCATACCGTCAGTATTTTACTCCGTGCACCTAACGTAACATCGTGTAGCAGACCGGCTG